CTCGCGGGGCAGGGGTTGACCGCCGCGCGAGGTCAACCCCTCCTCCTCCTCCTCCTCCTCCTCTTCCTCCTCCTCCTCCTCCTCTTCCTCCTCCTCTTCTTCTTCTTCTGCTTATTATTATTATTATTATTATTATTATGTTTATTATTATTATTGTTATTATTACTTTTATTATTAGCATTATTATTATTAGTACTATTAGTATTATTATTATTGCGATTGATATTGATATTGTTAATGTTATTATTCCTATTATTATTATTACTATTATTATTGTTATTATTAGTATTAGTATCATTATCATTCGTATTATTATTAGTCTTAATATTAGCATTATTATTATTATTTTAGTATTAGTGTTTGAAATATTATTATGATTAATAATATTATTAGTATTCGTCTTATTATTCTTCTTCTTCTTCGTTTTCTTCTTCGTTTTCTTCTTCGTCTTCTTCTTCTTCCTCCTCTTCCTCCTCCTCCTCTCCCATGGTGAGACGTGCGAGGCCTCGGGCTGCGCACGGGCGGGCCGCCCCCCCTCATTAAGGCAGTGCCGGCTTGGCCTCCTCGGGGGCGCGCTGACGCAGGTCAAGGATCGGCACAAACAGTGTTTGTTTGTCGTTTTCGTTTTGTTTTCGTGTTCCCTCACTGTGTCTTCAACCCACCTTGGCCGCAAACGAAATCGGCACGAGAACGGCCCACAGAGTCACCCCAAAACACCGTTTGGGTCGACCCCTGGGTCAATGCACGCCCGGGCGAGTCGGGCGTTGCAGGATCCTGCAGGATCCTGCAGGGTTCTGCACGCCAGCCCGGGTCAGGGCAACCCTGGCGTTGCAGGGCCCTGCAAGATCCAGCGCCCTGGCTGACCCCCGTTGGCATGGACCCCCGCCTCCAGGCTCTCGACCCCTCAGAAGGCCCCCCTATACACCTGGGCGCTGCCTCTGGCGGAGCTGCCGGGCCAGAGACGCAACGGTGGACCATCCCCTGCGGCAGCAGGAGGAGAAGAAACAGCAAGGCAGGAGGAGGAGGAGGAGGAGGAGGAGGAGGCAGGCGAGGAGGAGGCGCAACAGGAGGAGGGATGGGTGAGTACATCTTCGAATGGTGTGTGGCGGCCTCTGGAGAGCCTCTGAGCCCGCTACATTACCCCTCGTCCTATTGGGGGTGGGGTGGGCGAAGCAAGAATGCAAACTTGCAATATTCACCTGTTCGTCCACTGATACACCCCCCAACGGAAGCGTGACCTGTCCGTTCTTCGACCCACTGCCGTATCCTTCCTCCGCGGGGTGTGCGGGGGTGGGGGCCGCAAAACTGAACACCTGCAGAATTAATGTGTCCATCTTCCGAACCACGACACCGTCTCACCCGAACAGTGTCGGAGGGGCGCAGCCAGGATGCAAACGTACATTCTGGATGGGGCCGACCTGGCACTCGCTACCAAGTCATCCTCTGTTGGGCGTAGGGGGTTCATGCACGAAGGCGACACTACGTGCATTCCTCACGAACGACTGCTTCGTTTCTGCTTATGGGATGGAATCCCGCAGATTTCCCGGAAGTGTGGTTGCGAACCCGGGATCTGGGTCAGTTTGGAAAACACCGTGTGGGCCTTGTTGGAGCCCTGGCGGGCCGGCTTCGGGCCCTCTCGAGCCGTCCTGGGGCCAACTTGGGCCATGCTGGGGAGTTTGGGCCCTGCAGGGACCTTACGGGGGCTACGTGAGCCCTCCTGGTGGCCTCCCATGGCATTCTTAGGCGCTTTCCCGAAACGCCACAGATGGAAGGGGCCAGCTTGCCAGGAGGAGGAGTAGGAAGAGGAGGAGGAGGAGAAGGTGGAATAGGAGGAGGAGGAGGAAAGGGAGGAGGAGGAGGAGGAAAGGGAGAAGGAGGAGGAGCAGGAGGAGGAGGAGGAGGAGGAGGAGGAGGAGGATAGGGAGGAGGAGGAGGAGGAGGAGGAGGAGGAGGAGGAGGAGGAGGAGGAGGAGGTGCTGGTGCTGGTGCTACCTTCGGGGCCTGTCCTCCCTACCACATCTGTGCCCACGCTGCTCCTCTACGTCCTGGCCCTAGGCAAAGTCATGAAACTCTCACAACCTATTTACTGCTGCCTGCACAGGGCACGACCACCCTCCTCAGGCGGGTCTGCCCCTTCGTGCAGGCGACTCACTAGGCCCTCCCCCTACCTTACTGGGGCACAGGGGAGGGTGGGCGCATTCGGGCGAGCAGCTGGGCCGCCCGAGCACTCCCTGACCCTGCTAACTCCCTAACACCCTCATACAGAATTGCATCTACTGCAGGGCGGGGCGGGGGTGGAGGGGCAAGAGTATGCACAGGAACAGCCCTCCTCCTCACCCCGCTTCCCTCAGTGGCCGCCCTCACGACAGGTGGCCCTGGACCACGCGGGCGACGTCCGCGCGGGGTGCGGGTCCCACCTGCGCCTCCGCGCCCTGCACCTTCAGCGCGGCGATGATGGCCGCGCGGATATCGATGGCGGTCCACTGGCCCTGCTCCGCGCTCTTCTTCATGACTCCGAAATGCTTGATCGCGAGTTTGACTACTGCTTTGCCCGTTGCCTCGCTCTTGCCCTGGGCCGTCACCTTCGCCTTGCATGTGCCGAAGATCTCTTGCGTGCAGGATTGTCCCTTCTCGGACTATGAGCAGGTATCCTGGAGTATAGCAAGGTGCGACGGTTCGAGCTCTAGTTTGACTGCTGCCTCCAGCATCGCCAGCGCCACGTGCGGGAAGGGGGCTCCCAGTCCATGGCCCTTCTTGAGCCTGCTCACCCTCGTGTTGTACGTCTGGCCTGCTTCGATCATGGCCGTCACGATGCTCGTGTTCTTGCCAATGAGAAAGGTGTCGAAAATCACCCCGCCGAGCTCGCGCGCCTGGCAATCCAGACTCAGCGCCAGCTTCTGGACGGCACGCATTTTAGACTTCCTGGCTCTGTGCTGCCTCCATGCCCAGCTCCACCCGTCCTCGGCCTCTGCGGTCTCGGTTGGCCCGCTTCGCCCGCCGCTGGGGGCCGCATCGTCGTCCAATGGTATAGCTGGACCGAGATCGATAAAGAGCGGCACTGGCAAGTGCGTCACAACGTGGACATCACATAAATGTCGGTTCTGAGCCACAAACTCGCAGAACGGACAACTCAGGGCCTCGGGATTAGGCTCGATCACGTCATGGGACCACTTCGCACGATCACCTTTGCACTCTCTCGTACCCCCTATTGCTTGCCACGCGTGCCATCGAGCGATACCACGAGTCTTGAACGAACTTCGACACCACGGGCGCTCGTTTGTGGTGACGGCGAGCGAGACCGACGATCTGAGCTTGTGCGCGTTTATCATGTGCGATACCAAGCCTGCATATGTGCTGCTCGCGTACGTGCAAGGGTCCTCCTCCGTGCCTATATGACACGCCATGGTTTATCACGTAGAACGTCGAGGTCTGGGCCAGGTACAACCGCGTCGTGTACTCTAGGACATCCACCGAGACCAGGGGGAGGAGGTATACATACACCCAGCCCTTCACTACGCAATACGTCGATGTCGAGCTCGCGAAACTCGAGCGACGTGGGGCCCCCGAAGACATCCAGGATCGAGTCGAGATGGTTCCACCAGTACTCAGCACCCTCAGTGGCCCCAAAAACCTCGAGGTCCTTCTGTATCTGCCTAGCCCACGGTGTCGACGACGCTCCCACCCATCCGTTCTCCAACCTCTCTATGCCCAGAGTAATGTCAAGCATGCTGTTCCCAAAAACTGCAGCCAACAATTGGGCCCCGTTTAGTGGAGAGGCCGCCAGTGACTGGTACCATTTACGCATACGTATACGTAACTCCTGGGCGCTCGGTACGATACCCCATAGAGACAGGACCTGCCGGGTGTCCAAGGTGCGAATGTGCTCGGGGGCCTCATACGCTACTTCTCCACTCATGCTCCTACGCAGCTTCGCCATAGTCCTATCGAGGAGGGCGTAGCGCCTGGGCCCCAATACAAAGGCCTCCAGTGCTGACAAACAACTGTTCTGGATGTACGCTAGAAAGAGACATCTCTTGACACGAACCGGGATCTTTTTGCGCCAAACTTCCCCGAGGCGGTACCATCCTGCACGCGCCGCGCGCACGCGCAGCTCGATCTCGGCGCCGGCGGGGCCGTCTGCGCTCACATACGGGCCCAGCGCGCGCATAAGCTGAGTGGGGCGTGCCAGCAGGCTAGTAGAAGACGACGGAGCCCGCTGCGCTGCGGCGGCCCCCTCTCCCCACATCTGTACGAGAGTGTTCTCCTTAGCCGAATTCAAGGAATGTCCGCCCCCGCTGATATGTCGGGCGAGCTGTTGGCCTCGCAAGGCCCCTCTCTCATCGCAGCGGGTCGCCGAAAGCCCCCATGGGAGCGCGTGCGCTTTTGTCGCGTCATCCACGAAGTTCGCCACTGATGTGTCGCGCAGCCTCTGAGCCACGGGGCGCGCAGTCACGTTCCATTCCTCCTCGGGTGACTGTTCACTTATTTCCTCGAGCCAGCTCTTCACTCCTGGGTTGTAGCACGTGATGAAGTCGCGTGGCCCGAGTGCGTAGCCCATGCAGGTACCTATCTGCGGCCAGAAAAACAGTCCCTCGCCGACCTTGGTGCACAGCGTGGTCTCGTCGAAGACGCGGCGGTGCGATCTTTCATCTGACTCCTTATCCTGCGGGCATCCTCGCGCATGTAAACAATATCTGGTAGCGCAGGCGAAAGCATTTACTCCGTCATAGTTTGATGTTGCCCTCGAGATGCCGCTCTCGTTCATCTTCCATCTTGTGCACCCAATCGTCGCAATTGCCGCCTCTCGACGTCGGTGCGGTAGCCCCCCCTGCGCCCATTCTGGCATGTCCAGCGCCCGCTCCTTCCTGCGCCTCATCGCGCCCGCACTCAGCGCCGTGGAGGTGCTGTCGAAGACATCCAAGATCCGCTGCCCCGCGACCCTGATAAAACTCCTCTTCTTCATTATTTTCTTCGTTAACCCTCTCTCTCTCGATATCAGA